ATCTAATTGGGTGAAGGAACCCACTAGTGAAATCCCACATACCTGACGATGAATTCCACTGAGAAATCTTTCGATTTCGAGGCTGGAACTGATGGAATCTTGCTGCGTTCTTGACCTCTTTTCTCCTCTTACGCTCTAAGTTTCTAAGTTTTGATTAATGATTTGATTTAGGTAAGTTCTAGTTATGTTTCTAGGCTTAAACTGACTAAAACCTCATAATTTAGGGCCTAAACGACGTAGCCTAGGGGTCCAACGAAATAGGAAAAGACCAAAACGACCATGACTTAAAATCTGCTGAAGCGACCTACGGATTGATCGATGATCCGTCCTGTCAGTCCGTCGATGACTTCAGAGACCAGGTTCTGAGGGTCTCGACCTACGGACTGATCGACGATCCGTCGATAGATTCACGATCCGTCATGTCAGTCCGTCGATCGACTTTAGAGACTAGGTTCTAAGGGCCTCGACCTACAGACTGATCGACGATCCGTCGATGGATCCACAATCCGTCAAGTCAATCTGTGGTCATGCCTTAGAATGGTTTTTGTCTGAATTTATGGGGATGGTTGCAGATGCGAACCATGGACCACAAGCACGGGCCGTTGGTCACTTTACGATCCGTGGGTAGTAATCGTGGGTTGCACCTGCAACTTCTATAAATCTGCATTAAATTCTATTTTCGGATACGGGGTGTTACACTATCTCCCTTGGATGTCGCAGATCCTCCAGCTTCCACCTCTCCCCTGAATGCTTCCATCTCGGTCTTCTGTGCTAGAATTCTCTACAAGCCTAGAGAATTCTAAAGCCTTCCAAAAAATCTTCTAGGATATTCTAAAGTTTTCTCCAAACCTCTCTAAGATTTTAGTTCCTTCCTACTAAAACTAGCTCACTTATGCTTTAACTTCATGCCTAAGTGGTATGTCAAAGTGGTGGGTCACGATACTATGCAGGCAAATGATGAGGGTGAAACAAAAAGAAAGCCTCTATCTAAGATTGGAAATACCATGGAAAGCAATCCCCTATCTGTCTTTTTTACTTACTGGCCCAGAGCTAGGCTGCAAGCTCTTTTTTTTTTAGTTTTCCATCCAGTGTTAGGTACCTGTATTGAAGCCCGACTAAATAGAAATTTGCACCGGAAAATAACACATTGGGGGTAAAACTATTTTGTTTATACTTTGCCACGATTCCTTAAAACAACACACCCTTCTTGGTATTGTATAGCCTGTGGTGATAATATATTCAAGTTCCTTATTCACAAATAATGTGGATTCTTGCAAATCAAACTTTTTTTTTCTTTCGTAATTTTATAGGCAAAATCACATGCACCAAAGCCCAATTATGGTGGTTAGAGATGATGATAGTAAATGATGATTAGTGATAGTAACAACTCATTATAATGATTCGTAGTAATAATGGTGCACGGTAATGACATTGGAAGCCGTGAATGAATGAAATTTTTGGTAAACCACCATTTTTTGTAGAAATCTTAAAATAGTATTTTTTGTGTAACAAGATAAAGGAAAAATGATTTTTGTGATATGAACATAAACTTGAGTAACTATGCATGAAATTTACTCTTAAAAGTGTACTGCATTCATAAGTTTCAAGGAGATCTCCATCATTTAATTCCAATGTTTGACTGTGTAAGTTAAAAACTTTTAATCTATCTCACCGAGGACTAACTCTAACTCCAATTTAGAATCAACTCCCAATTTTGGCCCTAATTTGAGGTCAAGGTCAGGTCCTAGCTTGGGTTAGGTCTCCGATCTCAGTATGAAATCAAGTCCTAAATCGGTGTCGGAATCGTGGATCCCTGGTTAAGGTTAGGTTAGAGTCGGGTCGAGGATCAAGTTCCGAGGCGGGGTTAAGGTTAAGGTCAAGGTCATGTCTTGGGACCAAGGTTCAAGTTTGGATCATTGTTACCCATTGTTTCATAATGTACTATATTGTATTGTATTGTACTCTATTGTACTGTACTGTATGGTAGATACAATGTTTGACTAGACTGCATTGTTTGTTGTTGTTTAATAACATTTTTATTATTTGGTTTGACTGTATCGTACTGTATTGTAATTTATAAATTTATTAAAATATTCTTAATTATTATAGGGTATGAGGTTTGACTAGAATTAAATAATATATGGTAAAGGGTAAAAAAGTATTATGAAATATTATGCCATGATATAATTGAAAAAAGAAATTAAGTAACAATGGAAACACACCAAATCGGTTGTTCCATAAAATGGGGGTTTTCGTATTGTTACGTAACAACGAAATTTAACAATGCAATACAATACATTTTAAGTAACAATCAAAATAAACATTGTAGGTATGGTAACGATACAATACAATACAATGGATAACAATGATCCAAACAGAGTGTAAAGAGTGTGGGTTCATTGTATTTACTCTGACCATATCTAAATATTCTTGAGACAATATTTTCATACTAACCAAACACCATAAATAAGTTTAAAAAATAATAACTTAAATATACTTACATTGACACCTGTCTATATTCTTATAATAACATATAATATCAATATCAAAGAGGTAATATACATCACTTCTAGAACTTTCTCTAATTTAAGTGAATCTTCATTATTTTAAAATTAAATGAAACCAAGATATTTTAAAAAAAAAATGTGGCATGTAATGGAATCAAGAATTAATGCCACAACATGCAAAAGGCTAAAATAGGACAAGTCACAATCCTTATTCATATCAAACCAAATTTGTGGTGTTTTTGTCCTAATCGAACCAGAAACTGCCATGTGTCAACTTCAACTAGGTAACATGTCAACCATGAATAACTGGAAAAAAAATCTGATTTTTTTGATTCGTTTTCTCCTATTCAATTTATAAGCAAATGGTTATAAGAGATTATTTTATATTCCACCATAAACAATCGAATACATTGACAATGTACGTTAGTTACAAAATAGGGACAAGGGTCTGAAAAAAAATCTATTTTGTAACTAACGTACATCGTCAAGAATTAACATAGTAAAATCTTTTTCAATAAAAACAATAGTATTCGATCTATTAATAAATTCCTAAATAAGTTGTTATTTTTTTTAATTCTCCCTACAAGTTCTTTTTATAAGAACCATTTGTTTTTGTCCATTGAAAATAATGTTTGGAGAAAGAATGTCAAATCCCTAGCTTCTAGAACTCTCTTGATCTAATCAATTAATTAATTAATTGATACTATACTATTTATTTTTAAATGATTGATATGAAGATCTTGAAGCTAATGTGGCATATAAATTATTCCATTATAAACTTAGGCCACAAATTAATTAAATTGCTAAAAAAGAGAAGTCATATATAGCCAAATTAGTGGTGCTTTTGTCCTCATCAAACCAAAAACTGCCATGTGCAGCTATTGCCTAATAATGATATTAATTAAAGACATCTCATTAGTCATTAATCATTGATTAAATAATTTAATTTATATGTAAGAAACTAAAATGGAAAATAATGTTAGTTCTTATTTGATACTCTATAATTCTCTAATGAAACTCCTATGTAAATTTCAATCGAGAAAATGATGTTGGGAGCGTCACTTTCAAATGAATTTTGTGGTGTGTGATTCAAATTTAATTGAAATTCTAACACAGATTTCAAATATCGAATAAAAAAATAATAATTAAATTTTATCTGACTTATCTTGATTATCTCTAAATCTTCATTCAAAAATTACATCTCAAATTATTAGAGTGTTGAATATTACCATAACATCATTATTAATATTCCTCCTAATCATATTTGTTCGAGGATTGGATGTCAAATTGTCGGTTAGTAACGTGCAAACAAACAAAAAAGAATATTTGCAAACAGGTGGCAGGTGGAAAAAAATAAAAAATAAAAATCAAATATGTGACAAAAATTACTCTTTTCGTTTCAATTTTTTTAAAAATATTAAATGAACATACAATTTAAGAAAAATAAAAGACTTTTGAATCTTATAGTCTTAAACTAAAGATAATAGAATGTAAAAAAAAATGTAATTTAATCTTGTATTCTTAAATATATCGGTGAAAAATTAAGATTAAAAAGTTATCAAAAAAATAAAATAAATTTAAACATACTTTAAAAATAAAAAAGATAAAGAAATTGAAACGAAGGAAGTACAACATGAATTAGGACAAAGATGAGTACTAAGCTACTACTCCCTCGTCTCAAATCATATGTCATGATTTCTAAAAATAGTTATCTTGAATTATTTATCATTTTAGAATATTAAGACAAAATTAATTTTATTTCCCATTTTACCTTTTTAATTATTTTTCTTGAAGATTCCAAACATCTCAATTTCAGCATTTTATCATGGAGTAAAATTCTTATCAAGCTTTCTTAAAGGGATGCACGATAGATAATTTGAAAACGGAGTGAGTAATTTACCAATTATATCCAAACAACACCCCAAATTTTCCAAAAATTCCAAATCAACCCTCAATTACCATCTTTACAAGCCAATAGAAAATCAATTCCACTAATTCACGTAAACTTCAAAGCAGAAGATAAAATCTCTGCTCAGCTCTTATGTTTTAGTTTTGCTTTTATAGGTAATATTAAAAAAAAAAAATCTGGTTCGGTGGTTGATTTATTGGTAACTGTCTTATAAAAAGCTCATATCCCTCTAATTTTGATTTTTTTTTCAGATTAAAGAGCAAAAAACAAGAAGTGGGGTTTTGAGTTCTTGATGTAAATTGTGGATTTGCACAAATTTTGGTTTTATTTTGAGTTTCCAAGGTATATTGTACATTGGCTTAAAGTATTTTAATTTCTGTTCCCTTTAATGGGGTTTTATTGATTCTTCTGTAACTGAATCTTTTATCCAAAATGTTCCAAGTTTGATGGAGAAGGAAAGTTTTTAAGGTTAACTCATAAAGTTAGTAACTTTTTTGTTGTAGTTATCTGAAAATTAGATTAATTTTGGAAAAAAGATTTTATTTTTCTGTTTATTTATGAGGAGGTATAAATTGGAAAGCTGTAATTTTTCTTTTGGGGTTTTCTTGTTCTTCTGTGACTGAATCTTTTATCAAAAATGTTCCAAGTTTGATGGAGAAGGAAAGTTTTTAAGGTTCTTTATGAGACAACCAAGCTGGAAATCTCATAAAGTTGGTAACTTTTTTGTTGTAGTTATCTGAAAATTAGATTAATTTTGAAAAAAAGATTTTATTTTTCTGTTTATTTATGAGGAGGTTGAATTGGAAAAAGCTGTAATTTTTCATCTGGGGTTTAGTTGAACTGATTTAATTGGAATTGGAATTTTTATTTCTTGAAATTTCAAGTGCTAAATTCAGCTATTCTTTAGGGTCAAATGTTAGTTGTTGTATTCTATTATGACCTATTTTTGTGGGGTTTTCATTAGCTGTCAATTTTCTTTCCTTTGGTTCAAGTTGAACTTGAACATGGTTTGAAAACTTGACTCAATTAATTGCTAATAAAAAGGTAGAAGACAAAAAGGTGAAGAATTTGAATTATGTTGCATATTGTTTGTTTTATATATTAGAAAACTTGTTTATATCTTACCTACCTGAATAATGACAACATTATAGGCCAGATTCAATGGAAGAAAATCCCTCTTTCTTTGGGGTTCCATTGCTTTATTGTATAATATATATTGAGATTCAAGGTTTCTGGACCCTTGTGTACTATTAATATAATAAATAATTATAAGAATCTCTTTTCTTGATTTTGGCTTAAGCATAACATGCCTGTTTTAATGTTTGTTTGCCATCAATTTCATTGTGTTCATTTTCTTACCTTATCTGTCTTGGTATAGGAACAAATCACTCATTTAGTTTTTCATTGAGGTTCCAGAATCTTGATACATCTGTCTGACTCTGTGTCCGGTGCCTGCATTGGATAAGTTCCTGGATATAGGAAGATATGGCCATGACATTTACCCCCTTGTCATGGTTGCTTTGGAGTGGAAAACATCAAGAACCCAAAATCTCTAATGGTTCCTCTTTAAATTCATCACCTGATTCGTTATTGTGGGAATCGGATACTTTGAAGTTTCCTCTTGATCGCAGGAGGGACATCGCTTCCTCATCAAGAAGGGTTAAGCGAAAATGGCAGAGTCGTGAGGAACGAAAGATTGACAGGGAATATGATATTGTTATTGTGCCATCAGATGGTGGATGTGTTTCAGGGTCTGAGTCTGAGGATTCAGATTGGTCAGTTGGATGGCTGGAGCCTCATGGACCTGGATTCAATAGTGATGATGATTTAGATGATAGCTTTGCTGTGCTTGTTCCCTGCTATGGCTATGGTTGTGCAAATGTGGAAGAAAATGCACAAGATAAGTTTCTGCAAGCCATCGCAAACTTGAAGGACATATATGCTACTGGTAATAGTCTCTTGCTGTTATGTTCTTGTTATTTGAATATTATTTCTAATATTGTATGTATCTCTTGGATGACACGGAAAATTGAGTCTTGACCAATGCTTTTCAAAGATTGTTATACACATTGCTGTTGAAAACCTTATATTGTAAAAGACTTCATTAGGATTAATCACATATTGCTGGCAAATTAGGCCATTAAGGTATTCTAAGAGAAACGCAAGTGTTGATGTTCATAAAGATTTGGTGCTTTTGCAAAATACCTGACTCACAATAGGCTCTATTTATTGAAAAGGTCCTTTCCCAGTTACAATCATTATAACTAAGTGGATGATGAGGATATATGCCAGTACTCTTCTCTATAGGAATCAAAGCCTTACTGGTTCCTCATTTAGCTTTAACAAACCTAACATGAGATTTGGCCATTAGGGTTCAGGCAAAAGTACTAGTAGTAGTTGTTGCAGTTAATAAGAGAGTATGGAAGGTCCAAGTGAATAACAGACGTCACGAGGCTAGAATTCCAACACGTGACACTTCGCCACTAGGTTGTTACTCCTCATTGATCAAAGGAGTTATAAATTCCAAAACCTGTATTGATAGAGTATGAATGATGATACAATTGCTTCTTGACACCAAGAGAGGAATGCGGCAATGCTTCTAAACCAACTAACTTAATGAACGTTTCAGTTGCTTTACTATGTTTACAAATCTGAGTATTTGGTTTAGCTGGAAAGGCTTATGAAAATTGAAAGAGTTTCACTTTTGCTAGTTTCGTTTGATCAAAAAGTTGTAATCTTTCTTCAAGCATATAATCAATTCAATTAAGTCTTCCTGCTTTTTTAACTTTGCTATTATCAGAGAAACCTAATTTTTTCTTCAACATTGTTCTTTAGCTATTACATGTAAAAACTTTTCCTTTTAACTTTTAGTTTCTATGTAATTGAACATAAATATCGGAAACAATTTCTCTACCTCTCACAAGGTAGGGGTAAGGTCTGCGTACACCCCACCCCCACCCTCCCCAGACCCCAGTTGTGGGATCACATTGGGTATGCTGTTGTTGCTTATTGTATCTGATTGAACATAAAGTCATCAATAATGCGTTGAATTAGATAAAGAGACAAAAAGATCTATAATGAGTAAATTATTTTCAGCTTCCCTTTTCGTCACAGTTTTTAGCTTTGTACTTTGTATGATTTAGGCTTCTTGATTTCGTTGCAGAGAATAAGAAGTATATGGAGCACTGGGTCTCATCTCTGAGGAATCACTGAAATCCAGCAGCGCCTATGGTGCTGATCAAAACTTGTTTTCTGCTGCTTATCATGATTCTATGTTGCAGTGGATCAAACTTGAGCTGTTATGGTTACTCACTACAAACTTAGATATGAACTCTATAGAAATATAAAGATATGATATCCTAAAACAAACAAAAAAATGTCTGGAAATAATGTATATTTGTAGAAAGAGGAGTGAGTTTGAAGGACGCTAATATTTGAGGAGAAGAAATAGCAGACGATATAGGCATCTGCTGCTTCCTATCCACTCTCAAAAAGAAAAGAAAAAAAGAAAAAACAAGAAAAAGGAACCTCCCTTTCATATTTCGTGGATATTCTGGTATTTGATCTCCAGAATTGTCTCCGAAGATGTGACCTCTGCTTGCAATGCTTCTTCATGAACATTGGTGTAAGTTTTCGATGTAAAGTGACTGGAAGGAGACAGAAAGAAATGGATGATGGAGGACACAAAATTCTTAAGAAGAGGGAAAGGCACAGCTGTGTGTTATGCTTGATCATTCTTTGATGTAAATATCTGTGAATATGTAAATATGTTCATCTAGTTGTAAATACGTCGCGTGAAGTTTGATAATCTTCATAAGTACTGTAAATAATTGTAAAACTCAGACAGCATTAGTTGCAATAATATGCCTCTGCTGTTTATTGGTGATGTTTTTCTTCCCTGCTTCCTCTCTATATCCCTCTGTTGTTCTGTATTTCTGTTGCTTAAGGCTATGCTATAAGCCTGTTACTGTAAACTCTATTGATTGGAAATGAATAGAAACTTTATTCATTTTCAAGCCAATATGTTGAGGAGCTCAATGAATGAGGACTTCAACAAAATTTAAACAACAATGACAACATATTCAGTGTAATCTCACAAGTAGGGTTTGGAGAGGCTGGTGTGTACGTAATCTTACTCTTACCTTGTGAAGAGCGAAAATTGTACTAGCAACCTTATGGGATAGTAATTGATTATTTTGATCTCAATCATGTAATGTTCATTTTTTTATATATAATCGTGGTGTTCGGACCTACTGCTTTGATTATTTCATTCTATCTGTGTCTCTTTTTTCTACCCATGCTCTTCTCAATTTTTCATTCTCCAGCATAGCAAACAAGTATGTAAATATTTTTGCATAGTACTTCTTGGTACGGAGTTTAAGAAATAAAGAAGACTTTTGAATCTTGTGGTCCTAAATTAAAGTTATATCAAATGTACAAAATTGCCCTTTAATCTTGTGGCTTTAAACATGTCACGTGGAAAGTTGAAACTAAAATGTTACCAAAAAAAAAAGAGGTAATTATTTTTTAAACACACTAAAAAGTAAAGGAGGTCATTCTTTTTTAAACGGAGGGAATAGTTAACAACCACAATATAATATTAACACCACCACATCTTTTTTTTTAAAAATGAATATATTTGTGATCTTAGCTTGCCTGGAATCATGTAGCATCATCTTGTAATAGCCATGTTAGTATGTTACAGACAATGCAAAACCATCTTCTTATTGCTATCTTTTTAACTATTACTTTCATAATGAAAAATTATAACTTTTAGTACTTTTTTATCTCTAATTATATAAATTTTATTTTCAAAAATTAAAAATTCGATATCCAAATCAAAATACTCCCTACGTTTTAATTTGTTTATTTGATTATGATTTGACACAAAGTTTAAGAAAATAAAAAAGAGTTTTGCATCTTATGGTCTTAAAATAAATCTATATAGAATATAATAAATGCTATTTAAATCTTGTGGTCGTAAACATGAGTACATGACATGAAAAATTAGAATCAGAGAGTTGTCAAAAAAAGAAAAGATACATTCTTTTTGAAACGGACTAAAAAGAAAAGTAAGACAAACAAATTGAAACGGATTGAATAGTAATGGTGACAAACAAGAATAATAATAAAAAGGAGAAAGTCAAACCATGTACACCCCTCAACTCAAAAAGAATACTACAATAAGAAAAAATAAGAAGAGGGAAGGACATGCAAGCCATAATGTTAAACCAATCTGGCAGATCCATGATTTTTTAAATTTTTAAAAAAAATTTATTAAAATTGTCAATTGGTTAGTTAGTTAATGGGGTTCCTACACTTATGCTTATTTCTAAAAAAATAGATCCAACACCTTTTTTTGACCAAGTATGTTCCCCATACATTTTTGCTCAACATCATGCACATTTTCTCCTTCCTAGTAATCATATAGTTTTTTTTTCCCTTTCAATGGTGGATCTCATCTATGTATTATCAAACAACTTATGTTCAATGAAGAAAAACAAGTAAATTCATAGTGAGAGTATTAGAAAAAAGAAGAAAAAATGTTGCATAGAGCAGCAAGAAATGCATATTCTTGGTGGTGGGCTAGCCATATTAGAACAAAACAGTCAAAATGGCTTGATGAAAACCTCCAAGGTCAGTTCTTTATTAGTAGAATATCTATTTATATATATCTTGTTTATGATGCAATCTTTAATATATAATAACATTTTTTGAGATTTTCAAAATAGGTTCTTTTATCAAGAAAATAACAGAATATTGAACTAGTACTAGTGTGTTTTACTGTATAGTGTATAGATATCATGCAAATGTTTGTAGTTCCAATGAATCATAATAAAGAAAGAATAATAGAATTGTTATAGCTGTTTTCCTAATTGAGGTATTGATAAAGGGTTTAAATTATATATACCGACAGTGTAAAGAATGAATTTAACTCGTTATAGTAGGTTAGTTTCTGGATAGCACATAATGTATGTAGTTTAGTGTACACAACTTTAACTCACTAACAAATACAGAGATGGACAACTTATTATACTACTCCCTCTGTTTCAATTTGTTTGTCTGATTTTGACTTGGTGCGGAGTTGAAGAAAGTAAATAAGTAGAAAGTTGAAAAAACATTCTTTTAGAAACGGACTAAAAAGGAAAGTAAGACAAACAAATTGAAACGGAGGGAATATTTGTCTTAAAAGGCATTGGAAGTAGAAAAAAGAATGATGTTAAAGGATTTTTCTTGGATCACTATAACAGCATAAATCACAGATGAGATTTATTTGTTCCTTCTGTTGTCTTGTAAGTAGAGGGGAGGACCATTATCCACTGAGTTTCAAACCGCGCATAATTAGCCCTTGAGGATTTCTCGATTATCAGAAAGTATTCTCATACATGTATAAAGAGCTAACTGTTATGCCTGTTATTTGCAGATATGGAGGAGAAGGTTGAATACGTACTCAAGATCATAGACGAGGATGGAGAATCCTTTGCAAAGCGGGCTGAGATGTACTACAGGAGGAGGCCTGAGCTCTTGAACTTCATAGAAGATTTTTTCCGGAGTTACAGAGCTTTGGCAGAGAGATTTGATCATTTATCCAAAGATCTTCAGACTGCTAATCGAACCATTGCAACTGTCTATCCTGAGAGAGTTCAACTCGCGATGGAAGAAGAAGATGGAGAACAATTTTATGAAGAATTAGGACCTCCTAAGGAATCAAATGAGCCTTCCAAAAGCTCACCAGCAGCCCCAAAGTTAAGTTTCCCAAAAGTTCCTTCATTTGCCAAACGAAATGCTAAACCATCAAGGTTAATGTCAAAGAAGGGGCTAATAAAGTTCAATGTTGATGATGAAATTGCTGCTGCTCGTCCAAGATCAGGCTTGAAAAAGTCCGAGGCACTCCAGGAAATCGATAAGCTTCAGAAGGATATTTTGGCACTTCAGACTGAGAAAGAGTTCATCAAGAGCTCATATGAAAATGGGCTAGCAAAGTATTGGGAGATCGAAGAACGGGTCACTGAGATGCAATCAAAAGTTAGCAGCTTGCAAGATGAGTTTGGCATTGGCACAATGATCGAGGATGATGAAGCTCGGTCATTGATGACAGCCACAGCTCTGAACTCATGCCAAGAGACCTTGGATCGGTTGCAGGAAAAACAGAAGCAATCAGTGGAAGATGTTATAGTTGAGCATCAAAAGATTTTAGAGGTCCTTGGGAAATTTGAGACTCTAAAGGGAAAGGTTGTCAGTCGCCTGCCTCATCCACAAGTCCTCTCTGAAGTAAATAAGTCTTCCAATCGAGATTCGGAATTGAAGTTGCTGAACCGACAAGTGGAAACTTCTGAAAGAGAGAAGCATAATGAAGAGACAGTGCATAAGGAGCTGGTAGCTAGTTCTGCTAGTTCCATGTCTGATCTGGCAGAGAAGGTTGATGAACTTGTAGATAAAGTCATAAACTTGGAAAGTGCTTTCTCTTCCCAGAATGCATACGTAAATAGATTAAGAGCGGAGACAAATGAACTTCATTCACATCTGACCAAAGCAGAAGAGGACAAGGGAACTTTGGTTGAAGATTCCGAGAGCATGAGCAAGAGGATCAGACAACTGGAGGAAGAACTTCTTAGGGTTCAGAATCTCAATGAAAGATTTAGTTTTGATGATCTCTCTGAGAAATTGCACAATAACAGGCAAGATGAAGATGGCAAAGTTACTTTGTCATCCAATAAAGTAATCAATGTTTCAGGAGTTGATGAGGCAAAGCAGTTTCACGCCCATGGAGCAATCATACCTGGAGAAAATGTTGTAGGTAGCTCCAATGAGGTTACCAGTAAGGAATGTTTGAAGAAAGAAGGCTTGAAAGGACAGGAGGATTGTCGTGAAGTTGACCATCAAAACCTTGTTGAAAGTCACTTGAGCAGCAGTACTCGAGACGGACAGGCAGGTGGCACTTTAGGTGCTAACCAGGGTGTTTCAGGTGTTGAAAAGGCGAAACAGTTTCAGGTTAATGAAGCAAACATTCCTGGAGCAGATGTTCTAGGTATCTCAAAAGAGGTTAGTAGTAAGGAGGGTCTGAAGAAAGAAGTCTTGCAAGAACAGGAGGATTGTCTTGAAGTTGACCAGAAAAACCTTGTCAAAAGCCACTTCAGCAATGATACTCGAGATGGACAGACGGGTATAACTTTAGAAGATAACCAGGGATCAGGGTTCACAGACAAAGAGATGATGATGACCATCGCTACTACCACAGGTAAAGAAGAAAAGTTTCCAAAAGCTGATCTTCAGAATGACCAAGACAATTTTATCAAAAGTACCGTGGGAGATGCTGCAGATGTTGGGATAGAAAAAGGGTCTGATAAAAGCCACGGGCATGCTACAGATCATGGTTCAGACACCAAAAAAAATGATGGAAAGGTCGAGCCAAAGGGGACAAATGACAGTGCAAACAGAAGCAATTTTCTTGGTTCTGCTCCTGGTTATGATGCACTGATCTCAACAGATATCAGAATGGGAGGGGAAGCAAAGAAACAAGATATCCAGGATAATCTCATTCTCTTCAAAGGTGAAGCTGAAAAGCTTTCCATATCCGACCTTCAGAATGACCATGACGACTCAACCAAAATTGGTTGTGTGAAGGATGTGGAAGAGGTTAAGTTAGAAAAAGGGGTTGACAAAAGTCAACAAGTACATGTTACAGATCATGGATCACCTACCAAGAAAAATGTCGAACAAAAGGGGGCAAATGATCTTGCAGACAGAAGGGACATTTTGCCCAGTTCTGTCGAAGATAAAGAAGAAAAGCTTTACAAAACCAACCATCAGAATCATCTGAATGACTTTATACAAGATGCTCCACCAAGGGATTCTCCAGATGTAAATATGGAGGTAGGATTTGTTGAAAGTGAAAGCTTTCATACGTCAAATGATGACTTGACCACAAAAAGATACGCAGGGAAGGAAGAGCAAGCCAGGACAAAAGATGCTGCAGACAGGAGCGATTTTTTTCACATTGTTGAAGGTAAAGAAGAAATATTTTACAAAACCACCACCAGAATCATATAATGTATTGTTCCCAAAATTCGATGGATATGAAGTCTGATGAAAGTTATCTACATGTTTCAGATAATGAATCTGCTATCAGAAGAGATCTGAGAATGGAAGATCAAGCAGGCACCAAAGATATTGCAGAGAAGAGTGGTCGTTTGCAGATTCCCCCGGAAGGTAAAGAAGAAAATATTCAGAAATCCAACCATCCGGATTACCAGTATGATCTCCCTGCAAATGTTCCTATAAGGGATGCTTCTAACGCCAAGATGGAGAAGGCCTTTCATGAAAGTGAACACACACATAATTCAGATGATTCCGCAGCTATCAGAGAAGAGAGAACGGAGGAACTAGCAGGTAAAACTCAGATATTGCATGTATTACTGGTACTTGTCTAATTTCTGTCAAATTTAAAGAAGAAACTTTTTTACATTTCTGACTTTACGAACTATGCAGTGAAGGATGCTTCACATGAAAGTTTGTCTATGAGTTCACCCTATGATTCAGATATCTCAAAAGACATCAGAGTTGGACAGCAAGCAAGAAGAACAAACTTTACAGACAAGTTTGCTTCTTCTACAAGTGAAGAGGGAAGAAGTTTATACAATGATCTATTGCAGGTTAGTTCATCTGGAGCAACACTAGATGGCACTTCAAAAGGTGGATCCAATGAAGATGTTCATACAATGAATCCTCCTCGTCATGATTCAGTTTTCCTTGAAGACACGGAGATGCAACTTGAGAAACTGGATTATGATCCTTCCAATTCACAGAATTACCTTAAAAACATCCAGGTGAAGGGTCAAGGAAGCACTCCTCAAAAGTCCACTCTAGAAAAATCAGACCAAAGTGAAGATACAAGAGCATCCAGTAGCGGCTCAGGGATCTCAATCACTACGAACAACAAAGGTAGAGAGAAGGTAGGTGATGATCATCATTTCAATATGAATGACAGCAGGCAATCAGATGATCTTTCAAGAAGGATGGATTTCAAGAATAAAATCGAGTCGGAGGAGCAAAACAATGAATTCTCTCACAATTTCAGTCAAGCAAAGCAAGATGGTGACTTTCAACAATCCAATTGGCATAACCAACTTGAAACACATTCAGCAAGGGTCCACGTGAAAGATATTCCAGGCCCCGTCCCAGATGATGAGCTAGAAGAATGGGAAAGTATTTTAGATAATCTTCCATCTGTCTTAAGTGATTATAAGAGAGATGACCTACACAAGGATGATCTCCCAGATCAAGGTACTCCGCTCTTAAGCTTTAAGAGGATACTATCTATCTTTGTCAACTTGTAAATTAATTAAGTTAATGGGCACTCATTGTAGGGAATGGCGAAGATTCAAGGAGGCAAGTGTTCAGGACAATTCACAATGAGCTCTACACGGAACAACATGAATCTGGAACAGAGGATGACCAACCAAACTGGAGAGCACTGTTCCTAAACAGCCTGGATGATGACAGAGAAAAGATACTACTTGAGGAGTATACATCAGTTCTTAGAAATTTCAAGGGTGTGAAGATGAAGCTCAATGATGAGGAGAAGAAAAGGAGAGCGAGCCACTTCCAATATGTTGTGCAGATGAAAGTTCTAAAGAATGCTAATGCCTTGAAGGATGCACAGATTCTATCTTTACAGCATAGATTGAACTCGCTTCAGTCAAAAGACGTTGAAACAATATACTTCAATGAAATGCCAAAGGAAGCAACCTTGCAAGCTGCTGACATGAGACAGGAATCAACTGCACCAGAAGACAGAAGGATCTCAGATATTGGGGAGGATAGCAGAGATATCAAAGTTACTGATGTTGATGAAACACACTCCTTCACCACTGTTGAAGAGAAAGTACGGATGGACATTGATGATTTGCTGGAGGAAAACATAGAGTTGTGGCTTAGATTTAGCACCTCATTTCATCAACTACATAAGTTTCAAACTTCAGTTCAGGATTTACAAGATGAAATAAATAAAGTGAGGGAAGAGCGCAAGCAAGATATAGGTTTACCACAGTCGCTACTATCAGGCATCCGCCCAATCTATAGGCATCTAAGAGAGATACATACTGAGTTGACATTGTGGTTGGACCATAATGCAGTACTGAAAGATGACTTACAGAACAGGTTATCATCTCTATCTAATATTCTCGATGTGATAACAAGATTGTCAAGGTCCAAAGAGAATGAACCAGTGTTGAATGCCTATCAAGCAGCAAAGTTTCAAGGTGAGATTTTAAACATGAAGCAAGAGAACAATAAACTAGCAGGTGAACTTGAATTAGGGATTGAATGTATTCGGAAACTTCAAAATGAGATCCAAAGCACACTGTCAAACCTGGACGAAGAACTTGGGCTGAAAAAACAACCAGCAAGGCCTCGATCCAAAATTCCCCTAAGGTCCTTCCTGTTTGGAGTAAAGTTGAAGAGGCAGAGGCCGTCCATATTTTCCTGTGTGAATCCAGCATTGCAGAAACAGTACAGTGATTTATAACAGCACCAAGATAGATGCTTTTATAACAGCAGTAGCCAAATAGATGTCTCTTCCCCCGCCCCTCCCCTCTTTTCCTTCCCCTTTAGCTCTGTTGTAGTCAATTCTTAATAGTTGAAAATTAATTTGAAGGTGAAAAGGTGTGTTGCCTTTTATCGAGTAGAATACCAGAACTGCTCGTGTTTTAAAGCATTGCCATGTTCCTCCTTGCAACAATATTTTTTTCAGATTCACCAATTTCTGCAAACAACACAGCTCTTTCTTTAAGACCTGGTTTCACATATTGAATAACCATGTACTTCAATTGATCTGAATTTATATATTTAGACAAGGTATGAATTCATCTTCATTGGTGAAATGTCACACATCAGTCTTCCTGATCCAATCTCGGTTCATTGAATTTTTAGCACAACGTTTTCGAAGCACCAAAAACAGAGTCTAACCATAACCATGTGTCTAAGCGACATATAACAGATGCCAAAACCACTTACTAATAACAACACCTGGAGATATTCAACCTTCAACAAGGGAACATATGAAAGAATTTTGAATTGTCACCTAAGCATAGACAAGAGATTTAGGAGAATACATTTACAAAGTTGAGGATAAAAGTCAGCACAAAATAGCTGGTACAAATTAGAAATTACATACAAAGCAGGTCCAGCCAGTGAATTTATTTTACTCTACCCATCCTCAGTTCCCAAATGTGTCTCACCTAAATCCCCTTCCTTAACTTCTTTTGAACATCTTCTTACATGTCACAGGTGCAGGACCATGAACACCAGCATTTTCAACTGCCATTTCTATTTGTGTTCTATTTCTTTAGTCTCTTGACTTGGGATTAGTTTTTCTTGAACCCAAGTTCTTTAAGCTTTACTCTCTCCTCCAAGTTTTTTCACTGTGTCACCTAAAACTGAAGTTTGACCATCAACTTTCCCTGACAACAGGTTACCAAAAGTTTGATCTTTTGGGACCTGCTGTTGTGGTGTATTCGCCAACGAAGCAGCTCGAATAACTTGTGTTTTCTCACTCCTTGTATTAGACAGAACAGCAATTTGATTTTCTTGGCTAACGGCTGCTTTAGATTTTACTTCGAGCACGGTCGTTGGATAAGATGAAGGGGCACTTCGAACCCCAGATGAAGCATTTGTTCTGGATGGCACAGTCGTTGGTTTAGGTTGAACTGCAGGTGATACAGATCTTGGAGCCTGCAATTGCTGAGTTCCAGACTGTGAGGTATTTGAGGGGTCTGCGGGACAGGACACCAGGCCAGTTCGAATGAAATGCACATTACTGGGCAAACCATTAAAGCTACCTGGCACAGATGATTTGACTGCAGGAGTTCCTCCAGGCATGATATGGACGCCTTTTTTAGACTGTGCAGCCTTTTGCAGCGAGGCAGCAGCACCTGAATGGGTAGCAACACGGGAACTTGCAGCCATAGCAGCAGCTTTGACCATTGGATCTGGGTTAATAGCAGGCTTTGGTAGTGGAATTTTTGGGATTATAGGTTTTGAAGGTACTAAATCTTGCTGATGCTTGGATTGTGGACCAGCTGATGCAACATTAGCAGCAGCAGCAAAATGTGAAGAGTTACTAGGTCCACTGCCTGAATTTGGCCCAGCTGAAACAATACCACAACCTAGATTAAAATTAAAACTTGCATGAATTAATGGATGAAACAACTAGCAAGCACATAATTAGCATTTCGGCATAATGCTGGAAAATAGAATTTGCTGCTAAAATTTTGAATTCCTAAATCTCCACAGAGCACATAACTGTTGTTTCTAAAGGTATATTTGGCATGCAGACATTACTAATTGGAATTTGGATTGTCCAATCATTTTTTTTTTGAGAATGCTAACATTGATTGTCCAATATTTCTTGGAAGGGGGAGTAAACAAACTCGGTAGACTAAGTACAGTGGACACCATTAGGATCATACCCCATACTGCAAAGACCTAGTCCATTGGTTTTCCATAGCACGACCTACCAGCATGTCAAAGGGTCTTATATTTTAGCTAACATCACTGTTAATTATTTTTTTTAGAATTGGTAACATACACTGTTAAATTTTAAACTATGTACAAACAACCAGCAGATAAGGTCAAAGACACCAGCCATTCAAGATTCAACTTATCATATGACACACTTACGCCTTTAGCAGCGTCAATCTAGGCAGTATTGCCTGATTGATTAATTTTCCATCCTCTCACAGTAATGTGGGGGCAGACATATAGACATTATGGATGACACAGAGTTAAAAGAATTACCATTAGGGCTGATTGGGCAAGCTGCTCTTACATTATCCCCGAAAGCCATGGACACTGCATGACGAGTAGCAAGCTGAGCCTCCGACAGATGTGAGCCATTCCCGACCATCATCACATGTTGCTTTCTAATAGTTGCCCACCTCTGCACAAAGATAGATTCAATATCTTTTAAAGTAGATTTACATGGTAGATAATAGTAGAAGATCTTAACCACAGACAAAAATATGTTAACAAGTTCTGTTAACTGCTTAGTTAAAACTTAAAATCTAGTTTGCTAGTTCCACAAATAAGCACTTCGGGTTCTCATTCATTTTCCAGCATTTGAACCCAACCTGAGAAACCCCATGCATTCAAATCATACTAGATAGTGGTGGACTTCCAAGGTATACCTAAAACTGTTTTTTTTCTGGGGGAAAGGGGAACTTGGGACATGATACAACAAGCAGTATCTCTTCTTCGTTACTTCACTGTAATTACTTAAGAGTATGACATGGAGAAATGTTTCTGCTTACTTAACCATAATTACTTAGCTCCATTACCGTTCACATTTAAACCAAATAGTCAATAAATCATTCCCGACTATCTCTTCTTCACACACTTAAGGAAATTCATAACTACCGAAGAGGAATAGGCAATAATGACTAACAGCGAGTGTTCAAACACAGATTAATAAGTAGCTGAACTGGACAATATCTTTTCTGGTCGTTACAATTTGATGCATTTAGAAGGCATAATTATATGGATGAGATTCATTTAGTAAATTGCAACTGCAAGTAACCTAAACACTAAAGTTCGTTTACCTCCAAACTGAGGATTTATCTATATAATAAGACTGAATGTGTCCTCTATCAAAATTACTTTCATTAAACAAAGCAAATGAGAGAGGAAAAGCTCCAAGCAATGCAGAAGAGTGCATACTTGTACTGACTATCACTGAGGACAAGGAGTTTTCTGACTGGAGAATATATATTAAAAAAATTGAGAATGGTAATATGTTATATATGTAGCACAAAGTCTGTGCTAGAGCCATCTATTATAACTATCAAGCATATATAAAATAAACCTGAGAGAGTTGTGAAGCTGTTCTGTCTCCCTTAAAATCTGTTTTCAATATATTTGCCCAGTTTCCTTCACCACACTTTTGTACTGCTGTAATGAGTTCCATATCCTCTGCTCCAGTCCAAGCTTTTCGTCGTCGCCGAGGAAGGTTAGCACTAGCTGGTCCACTGGTGTCCACACCCTCAGCAGCCGAGACAGAAGGCATTGGCTGCGTTTGCACTGTAACTGGGACCGTAAGTTTTGTCCCATAAGCTGAAATACCCTGGAGTGAATTTGCTGCAACAGTTCCAGATGTTTGGCCATTGGGTATTTGTATAGTCAATGAAGCCTCAACTGTACTTCCATTTGACATATTTGAATCATGTAGAGCCCCAGAAGCAATGAATACCTGTGCAAGCCCAAAACAACACAAACTAACTGTGTGAAAAATGAGGGAAGCATACATGCCACCTTGAAAACCAGCGACTAATTCTAGTCATAGATAGGAGTATGCACTTAAGGGTAGAGGACAGCATCCTAGCATAGTCAAATAAAAGCAAGTGTAATGTTTCTTTTCAAAAGTACTATAGAGCTATGGAAGGAAATATCTCAATACAGGTAGCTCATGTCGAAAGTACATAAATATCCAATGAAAGGCATGTAGAAATTCCATTTCTCAACCATGCAAAATGAGCTTATCAAAAAGTATTTATCATCTAAGAGGTGAATTTCCCAAACCTGGGGAATTATATCTAAAGTTCTTAACCCATTTATGTATTTCATCAAATATATAAAGGACTAAATTGAGACCCTTGATATGTGAATGTAAAGCCATCAGAGTTCATAGACTTGAGAATTTTAGCAGTCATCATTCCAGAAATCTGTTAGACTTCACCTAGAAGCATAATATGCTGCAGAAATTACTAAATGTTTAATTTATTACAAGTTAAATTGAAGCTGCCCAGTTCTTAGGTTGGCCAAAAACCTTAAGATGAAGCTACTTTAAAAACTATTTAGGAAAATGGTGAAGGAGATCACCATCCTGGGCAGCTCTTGTGCTTGCTTACCTTCCCCCAGGCTGCAGCCTCTGTTGAAGCCTCACTGCTTACAGGAGGAAAAGATTCCAATTCATATTCTAGATCGCTATCATCATCCTGCCATCCAAAAAAGAAACATAGAATCATAAAATAATCAAAATTCGCAATGCAGTTCAGAAAATTTAAGGTGGATCATTCATCGGAGCGACCAACAGATAATGGATATCGGAACACCACATCAGTTACCAACTTAGGAAGACGTAGTACTTGATAATATATGTCAACTCAATGCCTTTTAAGACAGATCACAGTAAACACTAGATTAGATGCTAAATTATTTTGTGCTGCCACTTATTGAGTAGATATCAAAATAAATGAAGCTTCTCACAGCCTCACATACTTCTTATCCCAAGCTTAGGAATATTCGCACAAAGTTGCCCCCAATTTATCCAGAAAACCTAATGATTCCCGGAATTTCATTCATTCCCAATTTTGAGAAGAGAAACAAACCACGAAAAAAGAGCATGCCTTCCATGCTATACTAACAAATAAGCATTTAACAGTATATAGAATTTTGAAGCCAACACTAAAGAAAAGGGAGAAACACTAAGCAGCACAAAAACTCTCTTCTCAAATCTCAACCCCTCTCACCATCTTCTCTCAAAATTGAACAACATACAAGCTCAAAGAGCACCTTCGCATCATAAACTTAAAGGGGCGAAAAGAAACCTATTCCGTTAGACAAATTTCACAGTTCAATGAAACATGTATGATTTTTCCAAACTTGCCATATTTTATAGAGAAACCAGCATAATCAGATTGAAAAAAATCTAGGGGTACAATTCACTGAAGGGGAAAAG